AACCCAACAGCTGATGGTACAAATGAGATGAACTTACAAAAGCTTCCGAGTTAATGTATAATCATGATAAAGTGGGTTTTGCAACATGAGGAGGTACAGCTCATCTACTCTGTCTGAAGAGAGTTGAATGTGGGCTCTACTTCTGAAAGGCTATTAAAAGAAAAGCTTTTGTGCGTTGCAGACGGTGAAAGGAGGATACTCAGAGACCAGGATTGAGAAGAGGATCATAATCACAGGAGACGACGATGTAGACCAGGAACAGGTGGGCTGAAGTGATCAAATGAACTGTGGATGAAACGGTAAAGTGAAAAGAACCACGAGCATGGTAATTACTGGTTGTTGATTTTTGGTGTTTTTGGACATGTCTAGTTGTTGGATCTTTGTAGGTAAGAAATTGTATTAATTAATTTCTAATTGTCCATTCTGATTCTTTATTAATTTGGTACTGAAAGTATTTATAATCTGTATTTTATTTGAAACACTTAATATCATTTGAATTTAAACATTGCCATGCCAAAAAGTCCTAGATTGGAATACATTTTAATATTCATATATTTTGCAAAATTAGCCAACCTCAGATCAGATCAGCCTACTCCAGACATTGAATGAATACAATAAGTGGATAAATGAAGTATGCAAAGAAAATCCACTGTTCTTTGTGAGTATTATTGTCATTGTTGGTAAATCTAGAAATTTATCTTTTTCAATTAATTATTTGACTATAAAATATTTATTAAGAAATGCCCTGAGGTGACATCTTAAAATGCCTAGTCAACCCAAAGATATTCAGTTTACAATAATATATGACAAAGAAAAGCAGCAGATACTCACATTTGAGGCTGGAACTAGAAAAAGTTTATTTGAATTGTTGAATTGATTTATTGGAATAATTAATGACATAATTGTTAAAAAAAGCTCTATTTGCAAGCATAAAAAGGGCCGCACAATGTCTTTCCCAGCGTGGAAAAAGCTTTCTTTCTTAAACTGAAATTGTGTTTCAGTTTTATATCATTGCATAGGAACTGTATGTAGTTTTAATCCATAAAACAGAGAGCTCAACCAATATCTTTAGATAGTAAAAGAAAAGTTGTATGTGTGTTCCTGTGATTCATTTTAGACAAGAACCACAGTTCATCCTTTCCTTGCAGGCTCTGGCTATAGCAATACAGGAAGCCAAGCAGCAGCATCCTGACATGCAGGTGACCAAGGCAGTTGTTGTCAGGGAAACAGAATCGTCCACTGAGGATCGACACTGTGCATCAGAGGTACAGGGTGCCATCTTGACTCCAAACGATAATATCTGACCAAGATTTAGCCTCACAACCCCTCTTTTGAGGCTGAGGGATTTAAGGTTGACCATCTTTCCTTTCTTACCTGCAGTCCTGATTTCCTGAGACGAGAGTGCCCCCCTTTGGACCAGAAGTGTCAGTGCCCAACTTGAAATTGACACCCACCATCCCTACTGATAGACTACTGCCAGTGGGGCTCAAATGGAGCCTCTTATACACATTCACACACAGACTTTTTTGTTTCATTCAAACATTCACTATTGAAATCATTCATTCAAGAAAGTCTTTGGACGTCCACGCAGCAAAAAAAGAGTAAACATCGTTCATGGTCCTTGATTGGTCGACAATATGCTACCAGAAATCCAAACATCTGGAACAATTAAAGAGATAATCCAACTAAATTCCCTGCTAACCTCTCAGGGCCTCTATATTCAAACCACTTGCTTAAGTATTCCTCAAAGGGAATTAGTGCAGTAGGGGTTTGTTAAAATAATCTGTGCACTCGTTCACACTGTAGAATAATCCATGGTCACGTGCCATGTTGGTACCTATCCCATGCAGAAAGCATCATTTAAAAAACAGGAATATGAGAAAAAAATGTCATGAACGTCATCTTCTATGTCTGTTCCGCTGTATTGAATCACATGAATCATCAGATTCCTGCTGTGTGTGCAGAAAAAACCTCCTGTGTGTGCTTACACTTTGTCAGGAGAACCCATTATGTGTATACATGTGTACTGTTAAAGCATCCAGTGAAGCAGGGTTTATTGAGAGCCGGGCAAATTCTACTTTTTAGTTTTTACTCTTGCATAACCAGTCACCATGAACAAATGAGCTTCGCCCCACCCCCAGATCACATTGACTAATGAGGATGCACTGAGTGGAAAGCATCATGTGTCCTCCGGTGGTGTTTATTCGATTGTTTGTAAAGAACCAAAGTCGGTGCTAGTCTGATCACATAACTTCCATCTCTGTTTCTACCTTAAAGATTTTACTTCTGTAAAATGTATTTTACCATGATGTGTGAGTGGCACGTATGAAAGGATATGATTCAAGTTTCCTCCTCATAATGGACTTTTCTGTGTACGTGTCTGGACACTAGGAGCTATTAATACCTGTATTTATTTAAATGGTGGCGATGTAGTTTCTGAGCATGCTGATGTTTCAGAATGAGCCCAGTTCCTCTCCTTTCCCAGCCTTTAGATTTGCTTTCAGAATTCAGCTGCTTAGAATACCACTTTGGCCATATTGTGTAGAAAGTACATAGAGTAGGCTCGCACCCTTGTTCAAGTCACAGAATGGGCTGCTGAATCAGTAAAACTAGTATTTGAGATTATGTTTGCATGATAATTTCTTGCATTATTGGATTGTAATTAAATAATATGGATAGTAACTCATAAGGAGGATCGATCATGATATTCAGGTTAATGAAAGAAATCACAAAGATGTAAAGGCCGAATATTTCACAATCACACAAAATCTGAGCTCTGACATGTAAAAAAGGAAATGAAGCTTCCTGACAGGAAATTAAGGTTTTTCATTAGAAAAAGTGGGAAATATCAAGTGCATAATTCATTCAGTTTTGTTCATTCCAAGATCCAGTGACAATACAATGGCTACAGTTTCCTCCTTCAGTAACAGCCCCTTTAACAGTTTCATCTCATTTCAAACCACTGGTGCTGTTCAATATCTCTGACATATCAGTTTGCTTTTAATTTAATTTCCTGTAAAGGAACATGAAGTAGGCCTGTCGTGCCTGCATTCAGTTTTTCCATCACTGTTTATTGTACAACAAATTGCTTTCATCTTTCAACATAGCTTGCAGAAATGCTATTATGCATCTGAGCCCTTCCAGTACTCTTTCAAGCAAAATACAGTGTTATAAATAAACTATACAGTAGGAGCAGCATCTCGGAACTTGTAGTTTTGTGTGATCTGGTACATGAATGTTAGAGGGATGCCATAGACATGTTGTGTGCCAATTAAGGTAGCGGTCAAATTGTACAAACTCTGATTTTGTATGAAAAAAACTTTATATGAACAAGCTACTTTTAATTAATGTAGTGCCAGAAAGTCAAATCCATAAACTTGACACGGCAAGGTTTCCCTTTAATTATGGTGTGTTTAACATTACCTGCAAAATTTCTGTCTCCTTGCAAAAGTCCTATTTTATATATAAATCAATGCAAGCTGCTGCAAGTTCACTCAATTAAGACAAAAACAATGTTAAAACTGTCATGTCAGGTTTATGAGGGTATCACTGAGGTATAACTTTGGCTTTCGGACACTAAACTTAACTGTCAACGTTCACATGTGTAGTGTAATTCCCGTTGTGTTTCATATTTAGGTTCCAAAATCCTTTAAAGTGATGGTTTAATCATGGATGTGGGTGTCAAACTGGAAGGTGGAAAAAATAATAATAATGCAGACATGCATACCTTGTACTTTATATTTGGTGCCGTTTGGTGGATTGTGAAGATGTAAAGTAGTTAATGGACATGGGCTTGATGTACACTAGGGGGCACCCGTTACCTAAAAGAAGAGAGCTTTGCGACAACATCGAGCATACCCAGCTGAAATCCTTCTCACCTTTCTTCACTTAGCGGGGTTAAACTATTCAAATCATCCTTGGATCAACCTGTAAGGTCAAACGTACCTTCCTCTGTCCAGAAATGCCTGCTCATGGATGTCTGACAGGTAATAAACAGACTGTGATGAATCACAGACATTTGTGGCTGTGGCTGAGACACCTGGTGCCGAAGTCTGATTGGACGACCTCTGGCTGACCCTTAAACCTAGCCCTCTCCTCTCTGTACAGTGCCCTCCTCCTCCTCCTCCTCCTCTTCCTCCTCCTCCTCCTCTACAGCAGCTTCATCTCTTTAGCTCTGCTGCTCTCCATTGCTTGGTGCTGTGTCTTTGTTGTACATTGTACTTGCATTCCTTCGAAATGAATAAAGAGAGAGAAAAAAAAGAATAAGATGTTTCACGTCTGTTTGTCTTTTAGCAGCTGGTACGTGCGCGTATACTTGTCCTCTAGGCCCAAAAATTAAATGCAGCTACTGTATTTTTCAATCATGAAAGAAAAATACAGAATAAAATAAGGGTTTGGAGTTCTTACAGATCTACAGTTGTGTGCAATTTTTGATCACCAAAATGTAATTGTTATATAATGTAGATAAATTCTGTAAAACTCAGATGAAAGAAACAGCATATAAAAAAAAGAAATCAGCACTGATGTTCTCCTCCCTGGGAGAGCAGTGGGTGTGAAGGACACCAAACAAATCTAAAGAAGAACGACTACAGGCGTAGCTCTGAAGATATCGATTGCACTCTTGAGTATCTGTTTTCAAAATATTGATCGCAAGCATCAATGGAAGCAGAACAGAGAAAAAAAGTGCTGTTTTTTCTCTCTCGCTGGTGTGATTTGAAGGGGTTGGGACATAGTGACAAAGCACCGAAATGTATTTACGACAAAAAGGCCTAAAGAGATTAAAATTTACATTCTGAAATTGCCAAGTGGAGTCCTGATCTTTAATTGAATGGAATACTAGAGCATGACATGCAGTCGATAGCTCTTGTGAAGAGAAATAGGCTAAAACACAGCTGCAGGATATATTCTGTTTAACCTTTAACTAGTTTATATACTCTTTCCCCCCCAAACAATATAACAATAATTCTATTATATATAATAACAATATCTTCCACAAAGACACGCTTAAAGACATATATTTTGCTTGTTGAGATTGCACTGTGTAGACCTATTATCATAATTAATGAAATAAAATTAATGTAATGGACCAAAAGTGCAACTTTTATATCAAATGAATTAAACTGTAAAGGTTTATCCTTGAGCTTGGAAAAAGTAAACAAATATCTTACCATGAGGTCCACTTACTGGCTTTTTCCATAGCAAACTCCATCTGCTAAGTAAGACCATAAGAGATTTACTTCAAATAGCCCGATGAGGCATGACTTCTTGGCCTCTTCTGACATCAAAGAAATAAATGAGGAAAATGGCATTAGGTTTATTAAAAGCAGGTTGATCCATTCAGACATCCTAAGCAACGTAGGTACGTACACTGGCCAATCTCATGCCAAACAGCAGCTGACAGTAAAATACCATCCCTACCTTGTATTAAGCTATGTTAGAAAAGTTAGTAATCACAGCTACTTGTAATGTATTACAATGCTCATCATGAAAGACATAGGAGAAAAGGCATGTTGTTTCTGAGCCCAAAACACCCAAAAATATGATCTAAAAAGTAACAAAAGTGAAAATTCTCAACATAGTGTACAGTAAGGTCAGTTATTCATAAATTATAGTATGAGTGAGCCCAAATACGATGCGGATAAACACAGGAGGAAAATAAATAAAAGGTCTCTTGAATAATAACAACATGGATAATAATCATAAGACTTAAGGCTCATTTGGGACCTGAGGATTTCATACATACAGTGTACAACAATGTGGCTCACACTGCTCAGCGTGCCTTTGATACACACTTATGGATGAGAGAGGAAGGTAAGACATCAATTAATCAACACAAGCCTGCTGTTTACAATGGAAGCCATATTGGGGTGTACACGTTGCATTTTCTCACAATGATACAACAGGTGGAACTGAACCTTGTTGGCTCAATACCTTTGGTTACAGTCAGTTTCATGGCAACTATGAGGTTTAACGTAAAAGCATGAATAAAATCCAGGCTAAGTTACAAAGGTCCCAAATTCTGGTGTTTCATAAAGCAATGAGGCTTAGCTCCCTGTTTTGGGCAGGGATATGTAACAGTTGGTTTTCCTTCTCAGACAGTGCAGGAAGTTTCCCAAAGATAGTCCAAAGAGAGGAGGGAAATGACTTTGCCCATTTATTGTCTTCAACCAAACTTAAATACAACTTCAGTCACATAAAAATGAGCAACATTAAGTGCTTTTGGTCTCCTCCATCCCCAGGTAAGATAAAATCCCTTCATCAAAGACAAGAAAAGTTCAGAGGTAAATACATATCCGTTGAACAGAACCTGCACAGTCCCACAGAAAAAAACAACGTATTCACATCCTATTGTGCATCACACACCACTGGGCCTCCAAGGTTAAAACCATATGAGAATATCCATTGGTCAGAAGGGAGCAAAGAAAGAAACATCTTCAAAGAGACTGCAGTCGAGTCATGTCCTTTCAGTTTCATAAAAGCAACTTCTGAAAGCAGCAGTTCCTTTCAGTAACGCCTTTAGAAAGGTGGAGGAAAAGAATCCTCCTCACAAAGAGATCTTTGTAGAAAGAAGAGGAAAGACACAGTAGGGTAGGGAAGGGAGCAGGTGGAAATGCGGCTGTCAGCCTATGGTTGTCTTAGACCTGCTGTTTCTCCTCTTAATAAGCAGCTGTTGTTCCTGGTTCCTGCAGATGTTTGTCATAGTACAGTCCTGGCTGTGAGCATTAACGCTGCGAGGTTGACCATGGGAAATGCAGACAACTCCGGGGCTGCACCTACAGCTATGGAGCCTGAAATACATAAACAAATCAAAATCCAACATGTGTTTGTTCTTGTGTTCTTAATGTCTGGTGTGGTCTACAAATGTATCAGAAGGTCTCACGTCAATTATCACAGGAAGAAAAAAAAAATAAAGTGAATAAATTGTAAAATGCATCCAGTACGAAGAACTACAGTGTGGTGTGAGTACACAACTGTATCGCTAGATGGCACTAGTGCGCTGCGCTCAACTATGGGCAAGCTGACTTTCAAAGAGCTAGAGATGTGGGGTGGGAACAGCAACAGACACAGTTTGATTAAAAATAAATATCCACTCCTAAACAGCTGCCTCCTGGCAATATTCATTGCATGTCTGAGCCCGTTAAGTTGTTTGATGATATATATTTATCAGTCTGTGGATAAGAGACTGTATTTCACAGCTAAACAACAGTAAACACAATGTTTATACTTAGCTTCAAACACAAAAGGCTTATTTGAAGACCATCTGACACTTTTCTGATTTGAAAAAAAATCTCACAGAAGCTAGAGAGATAGCATTTTATCTACAGGAAGCAGCCTCAAAAGACCAAAATGCAGTGCACCTACAGGACATGTTTACAGTACTAGAATATATTTTTACACTAGACATTCAGACTTTAGTCTGAAGTCAGCAACAACATTACAGTCTTTATCTGGGAGTTCTCAGAAATCATCTTAAATAGAGGGAGAGGTAGACGAGAGAGGCTGAGGAAAAGTTCTATTCCACATATGCTCAAAACACTAGTGCATACAGTATGTGTTTGCAGTTAGAGACTCAGCTCTGAATTCTACACTGAATTCATGTGTCTTGCAGCGATGTCTCACAAATGGACACTGATATCATTTTCATGTTTCATGTCTCAGCTCCTGTCCCACCTGCTATCTTGGGGATGGTAATCTGGCGGCTGCTGCTGCCTTCTCCTCCCTCACTGAAGGGTTTAATCTGGATGACGTAGTCCTGGTTGACTGGCAGTGACAACTCCAAGGAGGTGGTGTTAGTCTCTACCACACTGGGACGGCTGTGTTTGTCCTGGCTGTACATCACCTGCAGGAATGAGAGGGGAAAGGTGCTAACAGTGTGAGGCATGGTGTTAATAGTGATGGGAGGCAGTATAGTTTCTTTTCCCCCCTTTCATTTCCCTATACTTTGTGGACTGGTTTTCATTGAAAGGAGGTGTGGTTAAGCTTTGTGGTGACGAAATTGCGTCACTGGTGTTATTAGGACACGATGAGGTTCAGATGTGGGAAGCATGACAGTTGAATGAGACTGCAGGTCAGACCAGCCAAGAAGAGCAATTGCTCTGGAAGTGCGACTCGTATACCACAGCTTCCCACCTTTGTCCAGCTCATGCACTCTTCTGTGGAAAACCAGCCATACCTTTATTATTATTCTTTTTTTTTTTACCAGCCAACAACCAAAACAAAAAAACTGAACTAGGACGGCACTTGCCACTCATGGGAGCTGAGAACAGGGCTGGCAATGGACCCAACAACAAACCTGTGGAGTTTGTAAGATACGTGGCTGTCTCCAGATCTCGAAAACCAGTTCACCTTATGTAACTGTGTTGGACCGTTTTTCAGCTGCAGCTCGACTCTGTAGCTGTGGATTTATGTGCCCATTTTATTATTTAGCCTAACGCCTAGGGTTATCAAGGGATTGTTATTTGAAGGAAAATATTGCAAGGCAATTTATGGAAGACTTAAAAACTTAATTAATATGCAACTACACATCAAGTCACCACAACTTCAGTATGAAATAAATATTTAAGTTTAAAACTTTAAAAATAAGTATGAAAAAAAGAACATGGCTTGCTGTACTTTTTAATTAAATGCAGTTTAGATGCTTCCTTACTTATCAACAAAATCAGTGCATTCATAAATATAAGCGCAGTCAAAAATAAAAGAAAAGAAAACAGTGCACTCATACAGAGTAAATGGACCAAGTGACAGGCTGTCATTTTCTGTTAAGTTACAATCTATAAAACCATTCACTCGTCAAAGTGGCAGTCAGTCCAGTTTAAACACTCTAAGATGGAGAAGTGTAAAACTCTAAATTTTTATACCTTATATCCTGTGACTTCTGACTCATTCTCCAGGGCGTGTACTTGGTCCCACCTCAGGATAACCTTGGAGTTGGAAGTGTTCCACATGATTTTGACCGGAGCTTGACTGGGCGCTGGAGGAGGAACAGGAGGGAGAAAAACAACAAGCGACCCTGTCAATAAACAGTTAAGTCCAGAACCAACTCAGCATGAAGGAGATTTCTTATTATCAGTTTAGCATCCCACTGTTAGGAGTGAGCAGTGACTCGAGGAGTGTGTGTGTGGGAGTGAGAACAGTCTTATGTCTGGCAGTTCTTGATGGGGAAGGTTAGGGAGAGTGTGTAACAGATGTATTATACCTGTGATATTAATTTGTCTTAGCCTGTATGAA